GAGAAGATTGGGGATACTAAATTTTTTCGCCCAAAAAAAAAAACGTAAGGGGTAACACTGTCGGTTTTTTTTTCGGGTCGAAATTTTGAGTTTTCGATATCTCAGCTCTGGAAGGGTCTAGAGCCTCCATTTTGCACTCAGGTCTAAGTCTCATGGCCCTCTATCAGAATCCAGAGTTTTGAGAAGATTGGGGATACTTAATTTTTCGCCCAAAAAAAAAAACGTAAGGGGTAACACTGTCGTTTTTTTTTTCTGGTCGAATTTTTGAATTTCGATATCTCAGCTCTGGAAGGGTCTAGAGCCTCCATTGTTGCACTCAGGTCTAAGTCTCATGGCCCTCTATCAGAATCCAGAGTTTTGAGAAGATTGGGGATACTTAATTTTTCGCCCAAAAAAAAAAAACGTAAGGGGTAACACTGTCGTTTTTTTTTTCGGGTCGAAATTTTGAGTTTCGATATCTCAGCTCTGGAAGGGTCTAGAGCCTCCATTGTTTGCACTCAGGTCTAAGTCTCATGGCCTCTATCAGAATCCAGAGTTTTGAGAAGATTGGGGATACTTAATTTTTCGCCCAAAAAAAAAAACGTAAGGGGTAACACTGTCGTTTTTTTTTCGGGTCGAATTTTGAGTTTCGATATCTCAGCTCTGGAAGGGTCTAGAGCCTCCATTGTTGCACTCAGGTCTAAGTCTCATGGCCCTCTATCAGAATCCAGAGTTTTGAGAAGATTGGGGATACTTAATTTTTTCGCCCAAAAAAAAAAAAACGTAAGGGGTAACACTGTCGTTTTTTTTTCGGGTCGAAATTTTGATTTTCGATATCTCAGCTCTGGAAGGGTCTAGAGCCTCCATTTTTGCACTCAGGTCTAAGTCTCATGGCCCTCTATCAGAATCCAGAGTTTTGAGAAGATTGGGGATACTTAATTTTTCGCCCCAAAAAAAAACGTAAGGGGTAACACTGTCGTTTTTTTTTGGGGTCGAAATTTTGAGTTTCGATATCTCAGCTCTGGAAGGGTCTAGAGCCTCCATTGTTGCACTCAGGTCTAAGTCTCATGGCCTCTATCAGAATCCAGAGTTTTGAGAAGATTGGGGATACTTAATTTTTCGCCCAAAAAAAAAAAACGTAAGGGGTAACACTGTCGTTTTTTTTTCGGGTCGAAATTTTGAGTTTTGATATCTCAGCACTGGAAGGGTCTAGAGCCTCCATTGTTGCACTCAGGTCTATGTCTCATGGCCCTCTATCAGAATCCAGAGTTTTGAGAAGATTGGGATACTTAATTTTTCGCCCAAAAAAAAACGTAAGGGGTAACACTGTCGTTTTTTTTTCGGGTCGAAATTTTGAGTTTCGATATCTCAGCTCTGGAAGGGTCTAGAGCCTCCATTGTTGCACTCAGGTCTAAGTCTCATGGCCCTCTATCAGAATCCAGAGTTTTGAGAAGATTGGGGATACTTAATTTTTCGCCCAAAAAAAAACGTAAGGGGTAACACTGTCGTTTTTTTTCTGGTCGAAATTTTGATTTTCGATATCTCAGCTCTGGAAGGGTCTAGAGCCTCCATTGTTGCACTCAGGTCTAAGTCTCATGGCCCTCTATCAGAATCCAGAGTTTTGAGAAGATTGGGCATACTTAATTTTTCACCCCAAAAAAAAAACGTAAGGGGTAACACTGTCGTTTTTTTTTGGTCGAATTTTTGAGTTTCGATATCTCAGCTCTGGAAGGGTCTAGAGCCTCCATTTTTGCACTCAGGTCTAAGTCTCATGGCCCTCTATCAGAATCCAGAGTTTTGAGAAGATTGGGATACTTAATTTTTCGCCCAAAAAAAAAACGTAAGGGGTAACACTGTCGTTTTTTTTTTCGGGTCGAAATTTTGAGTTTCGATATCTCAGCTCTGGAAGGGTCTAGAGCCTCCATTTTTGCACTCAGGTCTAAGTCTCATGGCCCTCTATCAGAATCCAGAGTTTTGAGAAGATTGGGATACTTAATTTTTCGCCCAAAAAAAAACGTAAGGGGTAACACTGTCGTTTTTTTTTCGGGTCGAAATTTTGAGTTTCGATAACTCAGCTCTGGAAGGGTCTAGAGCCTCCATTTTTGCACTCAGGTCTAAGTCTCATGGCCCTCTATCAGAATCCAGAGTTTTGAGAAGATTGGGATACTTAATTTTTCGCCCAAAAAAAAAACGTAAGGGGTAACACTGTCGTTTTTTTTTTCGGGTCGAAATTTTGAGTTTCGATATCTCAGCTCTGGAAGGGTCTAGAGCCTCCATTTTTGCACTCAGGTCTAAGTCTCATGGCCCTCTATCAGAATCCAGAGTTTTGAGAAGATTGGGGATACTTAATTTTTCGCCCCAAAAAAAAAAAACGTAAGGGGTAACACTGTCGTTTTTTTTTTCGGGTCGAAATTTTGAGTTTCGATATCTCAGCTCTGGAAGGGTCTAGAGCCTCCATTTTTGCACTCAGGTCTAAGTCTCATGGCCCTCTATCAGAATCCAGAGTTTTGAGAAGATTGGGGATACTTAATTTTTCGCCCCCAAAAAAAAACGTAAGGGGTAACACTGTCGTTTTTTTTTCGGGTCGAAATTTTGATTTTCGATATCTCAGCTCTGGAAGGGTCTAGAGCCTCCATTTTTGCACTCAGGTCTAGTCTCATGGCCCTCTATCAGAATCCAGAGTTTTGAGAAGATTGGGGATACTTAATTTTTCGCCCAAAAAAAAAAAAACGTAAGGGGTAACACTGTCGTTTTTTTTTCGGGTCGAAATTTTGAGTTTCGATATCTCAGCTCTGGAAGGGTCTAGAGCCTCCATTGTTGCACTCAGGTCTAAGTCTCATGGCCCTCTATCAGAATCCAGAGTTTTGAGAAGATTGGGGATACTTAATTTTTCGCCCAAAAAAAAAACGTAAGGGGTAACACTGTCGTTTTTTTTTTCTGGTCGAAATTTTGAGTTTCGATATCTCAGCTCTGGAAGGGTCTAGAGCCTCCATTGTTGCACTCAGGTCTAAGTCTCATGGCCCTCTATCAGAATCCAGAGTTTTGAGAAGATTGGGGATACTTAATTTTTCGCCCAAAAAAAAAACGTAAGGGGTAACACTGTCGTTTTTTTTTCGGGTCGAAATTTTGATTTTCGATATCTCAGCTCTGGAAGGGTCTAGAGCCTCCATTGTTGCACTCAGGTCTAAGTCTCATGGCCCTCTATCAGAATCCAGAGTTTTGAGAAGATTGGGGATACTTAATTTTTCGCCCCAAAAAAAAAACGTAAGGGGTAACACTGTCGTTTTTTTTTCTGGTCGAATTTTTGAGTTTCGATATCTCAGCTCTGGAAGGGTCTAGAGCCTCCATTGTTGCACTCAGGTCTAAGTCTCATGGCCCTCTATCAGAATCCAGAGTTTTGAGAAGATTGGGGATACTTAATTTTTCGCCCAAAAAAAAAAAAACGTAAGGGGTAACACTGTCGTTTTTTTTTTTTGGGTCGAAATTTTGAGTTTCGATATCTCAGCTCTGGAAGGGTCTAGAGCCTCCATTGTTGCACTCAGGTCTAAGTCTCATGGCCCTCTATCAGAATCCAGAGTTTTGAGAAGATTGGGGATACTTAATTTTTCGCCCAAAAAAAAAAACGTAAGGGGTAACACTGTCGTTTTTTTTTCGGGTCGAAATTTTGAGTTTCGATATCTCAGCTCTGGAAGGGTCTAGAGCCTCCATTGTTGCACTCAGGTCTAAGTCTCATGGCCCTCTATCAGAATCCAGAGTTTTGAGAAGATTGGGGATACTTAATTTTTCGCCCCAAAAAAAAAAAAACGTAAGGGGTAACACTGTCGTTTTTTTTTCTGGTCGAAATTTTGAGTTTCGATATCTCAGCTCTGGAAGGGTCTAGAGCCTCCATTGTTGCACTCAGGTCTAAGTCTCATGGCCCTCTATCAGAATCCAGAGTTTTGAGAAGATTGGGGATACTTAATTTTTCGCCCAAAAAAAAACGTAAGGGGTAACACTGTCGTTTTTTTTTTCGGGTCGAAATTTTGAGTTTCGATATCTCAGCTCTGGAAGGGTCTAGAGCCTCCATTGTTGCACTCAGGTCTAAGTCTCATGGCCCTCTATCAGAATCCAGAGTTTTGAGAAGATTGGGGATACTTAATTTTTCGCCCAAAAAAAAAAACGTAAGGGGTAACACTGTCGTTTTTTTTTTCGGTCGAAATTTTGAGTTTCGATATCTCAGCTCTGGAAGGGTCTAGAGCCTCCATTGTTGCACTCAGGTCTAAGTCTCATGGCCCTCTATCAGAATCCAGAGTTTTGAGAAGATTGGGGATACTTAATTTTTCGCCCCAAAA